ATAAAAGAAAGATTGAAATTAGTTGTCCTGCCAACTTTTTCATTTAAGAATTTTATCAAAAGATCCCAAAAAAAAGAAACAAACTATTTGACTTTCTCTTTTTCTACATGACTTTCCGACTGTGTTTTTTCTTTAAAAAACATACTATTTAGAAATGTAAGAAATTATTTTTTCACTATGAATTAACTTGTGAGGATGATTTATTTCAATTTTTTATTAAGGAGTTTTGTATTAGCTTAATAGATTTTCATTCCAGATTGGACTTCCAACTATGCCAGAATTTTACCCCCACCTAAAATTCCAAACCAAAATATGAACTTTTATTGAACAAAACAATTTACAAGTACCTATATGGGGCTGAGACATGAAAACCCCAGTCTCGATGGGAACTATGCCAAGGGTAAGGCTACTTAAAAGAAACATTTTTGTATGAATATGTACAGAAGTAATAAGATAACCGGGTTTAATTCGCCATCATGGTAAATAATGAGTATTGGTTAGTTTACCTTAACATATTTAGATATATATATATATATATATATATATATATATATATATATATATATATGTACTTATTTATTTATATTAAACAGATTATTGTTGGGGTGAAAATCAGTTACGACGAAAATTATATCCAAGTATCAAATAAAAGCCCAAAATTGGTCGCTACATAACGACCGAACATGTACATGCTCAGTCACTACGTAGCGACCGAGCTCGAGCCAAAGCTCGGTCGCTACGTAGTGACCGAGCTCGAGCCAAATCTCGGTCGCTACGTTGCGACCGGCTCAAGCCAAAGCTCGTTCGCTACGTAGTGACCGAGCTCAAGTCAAAGCTTGGTTGCTACGTAGCGACCGAGCTCAAGCCAAAGCTCGGTCGCTACGTAGAGACCGGCTCAAGCCAAAGCTTGGTCGCACATACACCTTCGGTTGCTACGTAGCGACCTAGCTCAAGACAATAGCGACCGAGCACGTACACGCTCGATCTACTCTTTGATGAAATCTCCGGAAGGCCACAATTGAACTACCACTCCTTTCTTACTGATCGGAGTTATCGTTCATAATATATGATAAAACCACGGAAAGTTTGTTTTTATCAAAAAGAAACCATAAAAACGTCTCGAGTTGAAATACGGCCCAAAGAAGCCTAGAATGAAACGAGAAGCCCACTTACGATTTTTATTGAAAAAGACCATAGATCCTATGACAATTTATCCTTGGTTCGCAAGAGAAGATAAATGTGAATTTTTTCGCGGATAAATGAAAAGTTCCGAAGATAATAGTGAAGATCGGGAAAAATGAAAATCTCTATTTTTGGGTTATGATGGCTTAAGGGCAGGAGTGCAAAGTGTAAATCGACTTTGGAGGGAGTATATAAGGAGTTCAAGGCGAGAGAGACAAGACAGAGAAAACTTAGAACTTAGAGCATTTAGGCATCTTTCCGTTTTTGTTATTCGAGTTGCGTCTCAATTAGGGTTTCCGCAGTCTAAGGTTGCTAGAACTAGGATCTCTCCGTCAGCTCTTGTAGCCAAGGCTCCTAACTCGTTATAACGCTCATATGCTGAATCGGAATAAGAATTCTTTTTGCTCTCTTTTTAATTCATATTTATATTATCGTCATTTTACTTCTTGTTCTTGATTGCTTAGCGTGTGGTTCAACAGATAACTGGAACCTCTGGGAAACTAGGGTTTACCTTACGTTTCTATTGAACAGAAATCGACAGTGCGAATTTTGGTTCCCACAGTTTGGTACTAGAAGGAGGGAGGGGGGGGGGTTACGGATCTATCTAACCAGCAAGCCACAACACACTCGGTCAGAAACATGAGTGACTCGACAAGTTCGGACGGAAGACAACTAGATTCTTTAAAAATGTTTTGGGTGTTTTCCTTTTGCATCCATTTGTCTATCACGAATCTATGTTGCTTACATGGAGCTCGTTTAGTATTTTCAGAACTTTAGCTTTGACGGCCTACAGTATTGAACATGTAAACGTTTTATACTGTTCAAGTGTTTTCTTTTTGCACCTGTTTGTGTATCAAGAATCCAGACTTGCTTACATGGAGCTGGTATGATATTTCCAGAGCTTTGGCTTTGAAAGTAAAGGGGCGGTTACTTATGCTTTATCTGTAGCATGGGGCTAAAATAAAGCCTAGTATTACTCTATTTTCAAGCTGTGTAATCAAATTCTTGCTGCTGCTAACTGTCTACTTCCTCGGTTTTATTAGCTATAAAACCTTTCATGTCATGTGTTCTCTCTTGGATTATCTATACAGTTAATACTACTCTGTTTTCAAGCTGTGTAATTAAATTCTTCTTGCTGCTAACTCTCTTTCTTCTTCGGTTTCTATTAGCTATGAAACCTTTGATGTCATGTGTTCTCTCTTTGATACATTTGTTCAATCGCGACTATAAGTTCAATTTTGTTTTTGAAAACGTGATTGGGTTAATGGCAGTAGAGTAAAGCGTAGACGTTAGAAAATATGAACTATCTAAATGTTCCTAGAGCCATGGTAAAAATATATATGAAAATGATTGATATGCTGTACGAATATATGTTGTTAAATGAGTTGATATCAAACGGCTATAGCTTCATTAACACTATGACGAAGATGGCAGAATATATATCTCAACGAATCACCTCACCATTATAAGGAGGTCAAAGAACTGCAAGCAACACTTCCATGAACTTGAGTTCACAAGTTGTAATTGCATATCTCGATACTTGACTCTAGAAAAATTTTATATCCGTATTGAGACCCACGTTTTCGAATTAAACTAGAACTTTTATCAGGTTCGTAACATTGTTATTTGAACAAAACCAAAACAACAAAACTCAAACTAAACTCAGATTTATAAATAACCGAACTGTTACTATATTTCTTGAACTGAAATCAAAATCCACAACCAAACCAGACCCAATTGAAAACCAAAAAATAAAATCCGGACGCGAACCAAAGTTTATAGAATATCATCAAATAATAATTTTTTATTCACAAACATAAATTATTAATATAAATAATTCCACACAACCTCACGGATCAGACTCTAGTAATATTATTAAAAAATCGTAATATTTCCGTGTCAATGACATAATATAAAAAATAAAATAAGAATTATGTCTTAAGTGCTTCCGGTTCACGGCATTCTTTTTTCTCAATCGATAGAAGCTTAATTGCAATACATTATCAAAATTGAAATTACCTAGACAAACTATATATTTGATATTGTGCTCTGGTTTATTGATTAAGAGAACTTGCAAGGATCTCA